TTTTTTTAAGATGGAGTCTCACTCTGTCGCCAGGCTGGAGTGCAGCGGTATGATCTCGGCTCACTGCAACCTCTGCCTCCCAGGTTCAAGCGATTCTCCTGCCTCAGCCTCCTCAGTAATTAGGATTACAGATGTGCGCCACCATGTCCAGCTAATTTTTGTATATATATATATTTTTAATAGAGACGGGGTTTCACCATGTTGGTCAGGACAGTCTCGACCACTTGACCTCGCGATCCGCCTGCCTCAGCCTCCCAAAGTGCTGGGCTTACAGGCGTGAGCCACCATGCCTGGCCCCAACTTTCTGTTTTTTAAAATTAAGTCATGTCCAACAAGTCTCAGACATTTAGCAAGCACACACTATGTGAAAGACAGTGTTCTGTTATCTTACAGACTTATTCATATGATGGAAGAGGTTAGAACCAACATTTTAGTATTTGCAATCTGCCAGGCACCCCAGGTAGGAGCTCTTCAGGCTTAGTTCACTTAATCACTGTAACAAACGTACGCACCAATCTGAGGCTCAAAGACTTTGCTTATGTAACAAGGGGAGATTTAAATCTAGATCTGCCTTGCTTCAAAGTCACAGATCAGGTAACTAATACGTACTTCAGAAATTACAGACTTTAAAGGTTGAGTAGTTAAAGAGGATTGTCCAGTGTCTAAGACTGGTTCCAACACACCTTGGACATCTGGAATAAGTCCTGAAACCCTGCTTTAGTACTTCTGAACAAACTCATTCTCTCTGCCTACAATTCCCATTTCACACTGAACTGCTCAGTAAGACCCTAGAAGCCTATTCCAAATCCATCTCACTTTACTTATATAAGAAATTACAAGACTGGACTTTTATCAAAAGGTTCTTTCCAGTTAACAGGTTTTGTGAGTCTGAAAGTAAAAATATGACCCTACTGGGCGTGATGACTCACTTGCCTTTAATTCCAGCACTTTGAGAGCCGGAGGCAGGAGAATGACTTGAGACCAACCTGTTCAGCATAGCAAAACCCCTTCTCTACCAAAAATAAAAATAAAAAATAGCTGGGTATGGTTATTTGGACTTGTAGTCGCAACTACTTGGGAGGCTGAGATCAAAAGATCTCTTGAGCAATGATGGCACTACTGCACTCCAGTTTGAGTGACAAGATGCCATCTCTAAAAAAAAAATTTAAATATGAGTGGAGAAGTGTTATTCTCCACTGAAAGTTTCTTTGTTTTAGTGCCCCAAATACGTTAAATACCAATATAAGGAATAAGACAGATAATATCTTATTTCATGTTTATTTTGAGCTCTGATTATATCACCTGTACCAGTTTTGAACCTCTTTAGTTACCATCCTGTTTAGTTGGTAACAAATAGGAGGCAAAAAAGGTAATAGTCACATTTAAATGACTTAGTAATTAAAGGAACTAAATTATTCATGGTTTAATCATCTGTTCAGATCTGCAGTGTTCTTATAATAGTAGGAAACATTTATATGATACTATGTGATAGATAATGTTTTACCTGTATTAACTTATCCTCACAATAGCACTGAGGTGTTTTTATAGATAGGCAGCTAAAGCAAAGGGAGGTTAGTAAATATACCAAAGGTCATATAGCTACTAAATGGTAGAACTGAGTGTCACAGCAGACAAGATCAAAATCTGTAGTCTAACATTTATTGAGCACCTACTGTGTACCAGCCCCACAGCTGGGTGCTTTCATTATAAGTAAGTCATGTGTCTTTACAACTACCTTTTTAAAATGGAAGTTCAGCGTTTAATTACTTGTCCAAAGTCTCAGATAAGTCAACGGTGGAACCAGGGTTTGAACCCATGTTTGTCATACTTCAAGGTCTATGTTCTTTCTTTCATTTCCCTTCAATGATCAAATCTTTATTAAACACCTTCTCTGTGCCACACACTGTGCGAATAATAGGAATTTAATCTTTGCTTTTAAGGAATGTGTTTGAAAAAGCAAAGAGACAGTTAATATAGTGTATTGAGCAATAGGTTAGCAGCATGCAGAGGTACTTTGGGAGCACAGAGAAAGAACACTGAGGCCAGCCTGAAGTGAGAAAGCTTAAACCAGTCTTGGGAAAACAAATGAGAATTAGCCTGGGCAGAGAAAAGGGGAAGGAGTTGTTATGGGCTGAATTGTGTCCTCCCAAAATTATGTTGAAGCCCTAACACCCATAACCTCAGAATGTGACTGTATTTGGAGACAGGGCTTTAGGGTGATTAAGTTCAGATGAAGCCGTTAGGGTAGGTTCTAATCCAGTCTGACAGTTTTTCTTATAAGAAGGAAATTTGAACACAAAAAGACACACCAGAGATGCACATACCAAGGAAAGACCATGTGAGGATACATCAAGAAGGCCAAGGAGAGGCCTCAGAAGAAACCAAACCTGCCACCACCTTGATTTTGTACTTCTAGCCTCCAGAATTGTAAGAAAATAAATTTCTGTTGTTGAAGCAACCCAGTCTGTGGGATTTTTTTAAAGGAACCCCTAGCAAACTAACAGATAGGAGTTCTAGGCAAAAGGAATGACATGCAAAAAGCCTTTAAGTTGTGGTTAGGTGATTGAGGTTTTTTGGTGAGGAGAGAAGTGTTGAGAGAAGTGAAACTGGAGACTAGGCTGCAGCCAGATTAGGAAGATTTTTCATGAGATGCCAAGGGGCTTACCTTTTATCCTGGCTGGGCGCGGTGGCTCACGCCTGTAATTCCAGCAGTTTAGGAGGTCAAGGCAGGCAAATCACTTGAGGTCTGGAGTTGGAGACCAGCCTGGCCAACATAGTAAAACCCTGCCTCTACTACAGATACAAAGATTAGCTGGGCATGGTGGTGCACGCCTGTAATCCCAGCTACTCTGAGGCTGAAGCAGGAGAATTGCATGAACGTGGGAGGCAGAGGTTGCAGTGAGCCAAGATTGTGCCACTGCGCTCCAGCCGGGGCAACAGAGCAAGGCTCCATCCCCCCCACCCAAAAAAAAAGTTTATGCTAAGGAAGATGGAATGGAGGGGGTTTGTAGCAGTGGAGAAACATTAGATTTGCGTTTTAGAAAGAATAAGACTTGCAAAGGATAAATTAAAGGTAATAAGACTGAAGGCAAGGAGACCAAAGTAGCGATTGCCACAGGATGCTGAACTAACAGCTTTCTCACAATGTTGAAATGTCTAACTAAAACAGAGCCACTGTTAATATAAAGAAGATTGTAAAGGGCACAGCTAACCCTTAGGGTATACATAAGAAGATTTAGAAAAAATTTATATATAACTGTTTGTACTCAGAGGCTGGCTTTATTTTGACATTTTGCTTTTCCTTATATAGATCATAAAGCTTTATACAGCTATCAGAATATTCAGTATTTTTCCATCGTAAAAAATGATCTTACATGTTTAATAGACACTTTTATGGTGATACAGTTTTAAGCCAAATTTTCTGACAACCTTTTGAAATACCTACTATTCATTTTATACGTAAACATACTGAAGCACAGAGAGGTTAAGTAACTTGTCCAAGATCACATAGTTAATAAGCAGAAGAGTTAAGATTCAATCTGTCTTCAGAGTCTGTGTCTCTGTGACTGAGTATGAGCAAGGAGGAGAGTGGCACAAGATGAAGGAGGAAAAGAAGACGGGCAGACTAGGCTCGGCCAGACCTCACAGATTGTGATGAGAGGTGTGGTTTTATTGTAGGTACTATTAGAACCTTTGGATTT